CTGTTACCTATATATCCTTGTACTATTACATATATATCCTTGTACCGTTACCTATACATCCTTGTACTGTTACCTATATATCCTTGTACTATTACATATATATCCTTGTACTGTTACATATATATCCTTGTACTATTACATATATATCCTTGTACTGTTACATATATATCCTTGTACTGTTACATATATATCCTTGTACTGTTACTTATATATCCTTGTACTGTTACCTATATATGCATGTACTATTACATATATATCCTTGTACTGTTACATATATATCCTTGTACTATTACATATATATCCTTGTACTGTTACCTTTATATCCTTCTACTGTTACTTATATATCCTTGTACTGTTACCTATATATCCTTGTACTGTTACAAATATATCCTTGTTCTGTTACCTATATATCCTGGTACTGTTTCCTTTATATCCTTGTTCTGTTACCTTTATATCATTGTACTGTTACAAATATATCCTTGTTCTGTTACCTATATATCCTTGTTCTGTTACCTTAATATCCTTGTACTGTTACATATATATCCTTATACTGTTACCTTTATATCCTTGTACTGTTACCTATATATCTATGTACTTTTACTTTTATCTTTCTGTTTTATTGACTTTATCTTTTGTATAATTACATTTATCTTTTTGTTTTACCTATATATCTGCGTTTCAAGGCTATCATGTGACTGTCATCGACGGTACTGATGACGTGAAGGAAGGGGATTGGCGATATCATGACAATCGCTCGCTCACTTTCAGCGAGTGGGGAGGGCTGGAGCCTGTGACGGGATATGCAGATAATGAAGATTGCCTGGCACTTGACCCAGGATATGACTTCAAAATGAATGATGTTCTGTGTGACGATCCTCATCCTTTTATTTGTGAAAATACATTATACTGAAATCAAACACATAGTCATGTGTTAAATGCTGGACTGATGAAGATAAAGTTTTTTGGTGAACATTGATACTACAAATAAATATCCAGGTGCCTTTTTGGACTGAAAAATTCTTTTTTGTTTTTGTATGTTGACATCATAGTGTATTTTTTATTTCTGTTTTTATACTCTGGCTCTTTTGGCCCCAAAGGAATCATCATTTTACCAAAACATATATCAAGTTGACCTAGATATTGATAAATGCTTCAAAGAAGACTTTCAGCTATTTCCCAGGTTACATCCACTCTATCTGTCCTTACATGTGTTAGACTCCACCAGGTCTTCATAGATGGAAGGATTCCCCATGACCAGGAATGTTGCCCTCCAATTTGAGTTAATTTAAATTTGTAAAGTCATTGTTGAAGTCATTATACATTTCTGTTTCCTCAGTCTGAAAGAAGTAAAATATCTGTGTGCATGTCCTTCCTTCTACAATCACACCCGTTAGATTTTATCTTCAAACTTCTCACATGAGTTTATCACATGAATTTCTGAGTTCAAGAAATTTTCAAAGTCATGTAAACAACACCTGAAATATTAATATTTTGGTTGCACATTTGGAGCATATCATAAATAAGAGGTCCAGTGGGCCTGTATCACTCATCTGGACGTGACAAAATAATCTCATAAAATGTAATACTACAAATATTTCCCAGTTTTGTCTCTCGGCATGTGGTGGGCAACTTCTTGTGTCATCAGATTTTCATCCAAAGGATACCTTATTGTAACTTTGTTTGAAATATGATCAATTATTCAGGAGTAGGCTGGCAAATACTTATGACCACATATTGTGTCCAAGAGAGCTACATTCCGTTTCCTTATTATGACCCAGTATTATTAACAAAAGAACTGTTACACAGTCAACAACAAAATGTCAAAATTCTACTTGAATTGAACTTTGGCCTCAGCATCACATCATATAGAAGATCTGCAATGCTGTTATACAACTTACCCAAATATAGTGGGCCTAGACAAACTCGTGTTAGATTGTTCTCTTTGAAGTTTTACGAACATGACTGACCCGTCACCTTGGAAGAAGGTCAAGTCATTTATGTGAGTTAATTTATAGCAGTGCATCCCAAGTACCTGTTAGCCAAATATCATGACTGTGAGCGTTAAGCAACATCAGACTCAGACTGTACTATTTAAAAGCTTTGTACCCATAACAGCCGATGTTGACTTTTGACCCCAAAGTTTACTGTTGACCTCAAAAGAGTGTGCAACAGAAAAATAATCACCGCTATAGACCTCAATGTCACCTAATGTATTTACCACATTTGACCTCTATGACCTTAAAGGTCATTTATTCAAGGAAACTTCATAGTACTCCATCTCAAGAATGGCCACATTTCAAGCTTACATGCCGGGCGAGTTAATTCGTTAAACCATCATCATGTGTAATGTGTAACAAGAGGCCCAGAGGACCTGTATTGCTCACCTGAATATGTTTAAAGTACTTGATATGAGGTAAAGATATAGCACTCTATGGTAATTATGTACTGTATGTACATCCATCCAGTACTTCTGGTGATATTGCAAGCAAACTTCAAACCCCACTCCTCTGCCCCCAGGGGGGTTCACACCCACCGTTTATAGAAAATAGAGTCTCATTAGGATAAAATCCCTTTATCCTCACGGTAGAAGAAGGATTTAAAAGGTTTAACCTCTATTTCCCCTATTGGGCCCTGCTTCTCTGCTCCCAGGGGGGTTCACACCCACTGTTTAACCTACAGATGCTCCAGGCCAAATTTAGTCAAAATCTACTGGGCCGTTCAGGACTAGTAGCGTTTTAAAGGAAGAGTTAATGGACGAACGAGGGACACCGCACCATGACATTAGCTCACCAGTCCTTCGGACCATGTGAGCTAAAAAATTGACAACAATAGTTTAAAACATTTCATTGCTTTTTATCTAATAGTGGTGTTGATATCAAGCTAGTTCTCAAAGTTGGAGACTCTGCACTTGTCAAAGCATTGTCAAACTTCCTTATTGTCACTGGGACAGGCAGTACAGAGTTATCTCCCTTCTTCCTTTTGTAAGCTGGACTAAATAATTGTCTTGTGATGTCTTGTTCACATTGATTGAAAACATCTGATGTTTGTTCACTTTTATAATTTTGACGAGGACTATCTCCTCTTTTATAATTTTGACAAGGACTTTCTATCATTTGATTAAGCGATCTGTCACAGATACCGTGACCTTGCGGAGAGAATCCCCTATTCACGTCACTATTGTCCTGTTTGGATGGATACAGGTGAAGATTTGTTGGAGGGATGAACCCTTTATATCTGTGATTGTCATTGTTTCTATTAGTTTTCCCATTATTATTTTTGTGAGAATTTTGGATTGGCTTGCTACTTCTTTGAGCACTTAATGCCAAGCACCCAACATGGCCATAATTAGTTGTGATATTTGATGATGTCTGTGACGTGTTGCTCACTCCACAGGTTAGTGTGTTATGTGACCGTTGTCGTTTGCTCTGGTAAGGTACCACTAGTTTTGTATGGAGCTGTGAAGCCTCTGCTCCTTGAGAAGCTGTCGGTTTTCCAGAATTTGCCTCGTGCAAGAACTCACTCTTCGCTCTTTTACCAAGAAATGTCAAGCGTTTCGTTTCCTTTTCAAAAAAAATTCTGCAAAATATAAATGATAAAAACAGGTTCAGTACATACACTACAGAAAGTTTGGGCTGTAAAGTTCTCCATCACGCCCTGTTACACCAGGATTTCTCATGACATGTCAATCCCAAAATTTGTTCTCATTCTCGACATAATTTTTCACTCCTTTCATGATTTCTTGCTCCCAACATGAATTCTCGCTCTCAACACGATTCTTAATCCCAACAAATTTTCTCACTCCCAACACCATTTTTCACACAGGTAATCATGCTAAAACTGTTGGGTTTGCAACCTAACTTTGAAATTTCAGAAATATCTGTCTTGTATTTCTTGGGAAACTGGAAATGTCGAAATCCAAGATGGCTGCCTTACAACCATTTTTTTCTGATCAGCCTCAAAATGAACATGCACAACTTAAGACAAGAGGTCCATTGGACCTGTATCTCTCACCTGGTTTTATATTTAAGTCTTTACAACTGAATGCATTAGTACATTTTTTATATGAAATTTCCTCAAAACCAGACAAGATCTATGTTCTTACTCAACTGGGACCACAATATCGGACTTTCAACTAATCAGGGGCCTCCATTGAGTTACCATGTTAACAGATTTTGAAATACGCAATATGTCATATTACAGGGTGTAATTAGACAATACTTTAATTTTCATTCAACTATAAGCTTTTATAAACCTAATAACCAATTTTTAACAATTTATGAAAACTACACCATAAAATAAGATAATCTAGCTGTACCATTTCTTAGGACCGCAGGGGGTCCAATCAACCTCATTCAATTAAGAAATGTTTGTTCTTCCTCAATAATATTTTTCACCAAATTTTGTACAATCCACTCAGTTAATTAGGGGGTATTAGCGTCTTAAAGCAAAATATTAGATAATTTTCCTGTTTCCGGCCCGGTCTTCCTAGCCCTGGCCCAGGTGTCGAACAAGTCTCATTTATGTAGGAAATGATTGCCCTCCCCTAATGAAGCTTCAGAGCAAATGTGGTTGAAATCTTCTCTGGCGTTTAGGAGGAGATGCATTTTAAAGCAAATTTAGCTAAGTTCCACTTCAGGGCCCTGCCCCCCCATGGCCTATGGGGTCAACCAACCTCATTTATATAAGAAGTGATTGCCCTCACCTAGTGATGCTTCAGAGTAAATTTGGTTGAAATCCTCTTTTGCGTTTAGGAGGAGAAGGTTTTAAAGAAAAAGATGACGACTGCGCCACGGCGTAAGCTCACTTGCCCTTTGGGCAGGTGAGCTAATAATGGGTACCGATAACTATTTTATGACTCCTAAACAGTTTATAGGCTTCAACATTTGCCAAGACTGACAAACAGACAGGAAGAGAGTTCTTGGTTCAGAAATTTGTGCCGATGAGAAAAAAAATTCCATATCTTTTGCATGATTTCTCAAGATCAATATGTCGAATGAAAACTTGGTGTAGCAACATTGTCTTGAGTCTTGAGATATGGTTCCCATTCTATCAATAGCAGAACTAGCCTTGCTCTACAAAACCCCAAACATTTCCTTTAGCTGAGTAATCTTCCTAACAAAGATGTGAGATGATCCCTCATACCAACACTGTAAAACTTGTTGTGCTAGACAGCCCCCTCCTATGAACACAGAAACAGTGATCCTCCGACTCCTCCTTATAGCTATAACAGTCACTGTAATGTCTGACAAAAGTCATCATGTTATGACATTATGACATCACACTGAATATTGGACATGAATTGAATATGGTGATGTTTGTTGCAATAAAAGCTCTTAAGAGCTAATGTTCCTTGTTTACCTGTATGCAACTTTAAATAAAGTTTCTTGTATCTTGTTGAAGATTTCACAATGGTCAAAGAAAACACCTTTTTGACTAAGTTTTGGTGTGTCATAGGAAGGATCTTTGTTTATTTCATATCAGATTTATGAATGATGAATTCTGATAAAACTTTCAGATTCATTTATAAACAAGCAAATCAGTAAAACTGACATATTACGCTCCCAAAAAGACTGTCATAAAGACTGAAATTAAGTTTGACCTCAATGTGATATGGACCTCGGGTGTACAGACCAGAAAGTGGTATGTGACAAACAGCCTTTCATATATCCCTTACATTTCATTGAGCTATCTTCATCAAGTCAAAAGTTATATTATAGTCCAGGGAATGTCTTTGGCCTTTGAACTTAATTGGACCCTAACCTTGGAAAAAACCTATGACCTCATTGTGACCATGACCTTGGATGTAGAGAGCCCAGCCGCATTGTCTTGATATCCTTTGTAAATCTTTTACATTTCATTGAGATATCTTCAGTGAGTCAGTGTTGGCTTGGGCAATGAATTTGACCTTTGACCTCTATGTGACCATGACCATTGAGTGATACATGACAACCTGTCTTGCCATCCATCATAAATCTCTAAAATTTCACTGAGTTATCTTCAGTACGTTAGAAATTATGGCCCTGAAAATAATTTTGACATAAGAAAAGACAGATGGATAAGCAGCAACTATATGCTCCTCCAAATTTTTTCAGGAAAAAAAATCATACAATCTAGTTATTTAAGATCCTCAATATTTGGACAAAGCATCCTGACGCAGATGTTAAGAATTGCTACTATTACACTAACTTTGAGTTCAGGTGACGACCAGAGTGCAGAGCTTGTCCATCTGATGGCAACCAGCTATCAGATCTAGCAGAACTCCCGTCAAATGAGGAGCACCCAGCTAGCAGTTTCTTCTTTTGTTCACATGCTACTGGAAAGAAAAATATTCATGGATTTTTTTTACCTCAAACCAAGCATTTATTATTTTACTGTAAACTAGAGCTGTCAATAGTATACCCCCCACATACACATGAATTATATAATGACAATTGAAATGTCATTCCCTGTTTTCTGGTTTAAATTTTTCTTTTTTCTTTTGGGTGAGCTACCTGAACTATCAATTTTATCTTTCTCGTCTAGAGCACATTTTCCCGTCATTTTCTCGCTAAAGAAAAAAGGAAGTGTGATCACAGTCACATATACCGGTAGGCTTCAGTTTCTAGAATTATTCAAAACACAGAGAAGACTGTGATCAGGATGTTATAAAAAAAAAATGAAGTGGAAACAGGCAGAAACATAGAAAAGACAAAATAGTAAAGTGAACTTTTATGTTCCAATCTTAAGGATGAGGCTAAACGAGGAATGGTTTTAACACCTCTACAGGGTGCTGCAACAACAAAAGCATATCAAAGAAATGTATTGAAAAATGAACAAATGCATAGTTTTGTCAAAGTTTTTAGGTAAAGGGGCATAACTCTCTTCATAAGGTCCAAATTCAGGGGGGAACTCAAACTTCAAAGAAATCTGTTACAAAGCCGGACAAAGTTTTTGTCAAATTTTTCATGTAATTATAAAGGGGCATACTCCCTTAAAAAGGTAAAAAACGCAAAATTGTTTACGGGAGCACAACTACATATGTGACTGCAACTACACAGACAAATTTAAAGAAATCTATTGAAAAATAAGCAAAGGCATAGCCGGACAAAGTTTTGTCAAATATATAAATACTTAAATGGGCATTCCACCTTAAAAAGTTCAGAAACACGTAATTATTTCAGGGGGCACGACTACATTTGGTACTGCCACTTCACAAAAAGTTTCCTAGAAATCTTTTGAAAAAAGAGCAAATGCATAGTCAGACAAATTTTGTGTCCAACCCAATATCTATAACCTCCAAATTAGTGAACTATACTCCCTCCCCGTAATAACGATTTTAACAAAGCACTTTAGCACGTTTCTGTCGGTGAAGAATATTAGAATCTAGAACTTGATTTCTTATAATGGAAAAGATGACTGTCGAACTTACAGCAATTTTGACTATTTTGGGCCCTTCATTACAAGCATTTGGTGAGGGAACTACAAATTCTCAATTTTGGTTCATCTTTGGTCCTAAAAACTTCATCCAAAATTATATTGAAATTTGTTTAGCAGTAAGGATACACGATGTACGATGGTTGAAAGTCAATCCACAGAAAGGGACAAAAGGCATTTGTAATAACTCACAAGAGACTATCTAGATAATTGCAATCCCTCGGAGACCTTCATTGTACCAAGTATCTAGATACTTGCAATGGCTCTGTAAGCCCTTCATTGTATCAAGTATCTAGATACTTGCCAGGCTTGTGTTAGCCCTTCATTGTACCTAGTATCTGAATATTTGCCATGCTTCTGTAAGCCCTTCATTGTACTAATTACCAGGCCTCTGAAAGCCCTTCATTGTACCTATTGTCTAGATATTTGCTATGCCCCTGAAAGCCCTTCATTGTACCTAGTATCTAGATATTTGCCATGCTTCTGAAAGCCCTTCATTGTTACTAGTATCTAGATATTTGCCATGCCCCTTAAAGCCCTTCATTGTACCTAGTATCTGGATATTTGCCATGCTTCTGAAAGCCCTTCATTGTACCCAGTATCTAGATATTTGCTATGCCCCTGAAAGCCCTTCATTGTACCTAGTATCTAGATATTTGCCATGCTTGTGTTAGCCCTTCATTGTACCTAGTATCTAGATACTTGACATGCCCCTGAAAGCCCTTCATTGTACCTAGTATCTAGATACTTGCCATGCTTCTGTAAGCCCTTCATTGTACTAATTACCAGGCCTCTGAAAGCCCTTCATTGTACCTATTATCTAGATATTTGCTATGCCCCTGAAAGCCCTTCATTGTACCTAGTATCTAGATATTTGCCATGCTTCTGNCCTTCATTGTACCTAGTATCTAGATATTTGCCATGCCCCTGAAAGCCCTTCATTGTACCTAGTATCTAGATATTTGCCATGCTTCTGAAAGCCCTTCATTGTATCCAGTATTTAGATATTTGCTATGCCCCTGAAAATCTTCATTGTACCTAGTATCTAGATATTTGCCATGCTTGTGTTAGCCCTTCATTGTACCTAGTATCTAGATACTTGCCATGCCACTGTAAGCCCTTTATTGTACCCAGTATCTAGATACTTGCCAAGCCTCTAAAAGCCCTTCATTGTACCCAGTATCTAGATACTTGCCAGGCCTCTGAAAGTCCTTCATTGTACCCAGTATCAAGATACTTGCTAGGCCTCTGTAAGCCCTTTATTGTACCCAGTATCTAGATACTTGCCAACCCTAGCCTCTGTAAGCCCTTTATTGTACCCAGTATCTAGATACTTGCCAGGCCTCTGAAAGTCCTTCATTGTACCCAGTATCAAGATACTTGCCAACCCTCTGTAAGCCCTTCATTGTACCCAGTATCTAGATACTTGCCAACCCTCTGTAAGCCCTTCATTGTACCCAGTATCTAGATACTTGCTAGGCCTCTGTAAGCCCTTTATTGTACCCAGTATCTAGATACTTGCCAACCCTCTGTAAGCCCTTCATTGTACCAAGTATCTAGATACTTGCCAGGCCTCTGTAAGCCCTTCATTGTATGTGGTCTATATATACTTGCCATGCCTCTGGTAGTCCTCCAGGGTGGGCCCTATTTCCTGGTCCTTACCCTCCGTGTTGTTTAGTAACCAGGGCTGGAGTCCTGTTTTGACATTACCATCCTTCTCCTCCTCCTCCTCCTCCTCTATGAAATGCTGTGAAAACATAACACACACTGGTCTTATAAGTATTGAAATGCAGATTGTTAAATTTAATTTTATAATTAAACACAATCATTTGCTAACAAAGATATTCAATGAAATAGAGTAAACAGTGTGATAAACAATGAAAACAAAAGGCCCAAGGGCCTTAGCGGTCACCTGAGCTATATCATAGGTACTGGTAGCTTTATTTATTGTTTAGATGTGATGTGGAAAACTAAGTGAAATACAATGCTTGTCATGTCATCAAAGGATAAGAATTTGAAAATATTGGTAAATGTTCCCTTTGGGGCCCTGCCCTAGCCCCTGGGGAAGGGGCAGGAATTCCAATTTTACAATGTAATACCCTCATTCATCAAAGATGATTCTGACTAAGTTTGAGTAATTTTCTGCTGAAAATGGATAAAATATACCCAAAAGTGTTATTTCCCTATATAAACTATAGTAAACTTTACCCCCTCCCCAAGGGAGAACGGATAGCTCGGGGTCCTGAACTTTACAATTTAAATAAAGCCCCTGCTGATTTTCTTTCCATGCAGAGAAATTGACTGTAGTACCTCTGAGTCAGGAGGAGAACATTTTGGAAATATTGGTTAATTTTTCCTTTGGGACCCGCCCTAGGGTTGGGGTAGGAATTTCAATTTTTCAATTTGAAACCATCTTCCTCCAAGGATAATTCTCACCAAGTAAAATAATTTCCTACAGAAAGTTGTCAAAATATACCCAAAAGTGTTATTTCCCTATATATAAACTATAGTAAACTTTACCCCCTCCCCAAGGGAGTACAGATAGCTCGGACGGAAAGCAATTAAGTAGGTCACTTGAGCAAAGCTCAGGTGACCTTAAAAGAGCAAGAGGTCCAAATAGGCCTGTATTGCTCACCTAGTGTTTTTAGCAATCATGGAAAAATATTCTCAATGAAAATGTTTAGCCTGTCTCCTTTGTCTCAGAATGTTCCAGACTAAATGATACTTTATGCTATTCTATCCCAGCATGCTACTGGTCAAATTTTATCACCTAGGGCATCCGGGTAATGCAGAAGAAGTTGTTCAAAGTTTGTTTTCTGATATTTGACCCTTTGATCTTATTAGTAGGTCAAGATCATTTATTTGGGGAAACATTATAGCAAGCTATGACATCTGACAATCAGACATATGACAAGCTATGACATCTGACAATCAGACATATGACAATCTATGACATCTGACAATCAGACATATGACAAGGTATGACATCTGACAATCAGACATATGACAAGCTATGACATCTGACACTATATGACCTGATCTATGATTATGACATATGATGACATGACAAACATAATGAACACAGGAAACTTTTTCAAACGTTATATTTTGTGAAACACAAACACAGCACTATTGAGTTTGCTAGAGTGAGACTAAAGCATGGACATTTTGACTTTGTGTTGAAGCTTTTAAGGATACTTCCTCTGACTTTCTAAATAGTACCAAAACATTGACTGTTAAATGATACTGTGAAACTAATTAATAAACTGATATCCAATCTTCATTAAATTGAAAGGTACACAAATACACATGAAGGGTTTACATTGGGAATTAGATTCTATTTTAGGTAGACAAAGTTGATATAAGGTGTTGTATAAGGGAGAATATATTTGTAGCAATAGAAACAAGAGTACCGCAGGGCGGAACAATATACGAGAAATCATGCTGTACTTGATCAACATCAGTTGAAGGAATATATATATATATTTCTGATATCCTTTATGAATTGAAATTGCCCCTTTTTGTCAATATTCAATTCAATAACCAAGTTTCGAAGATAACCAAGATATCTAATCAATCATGGCAAAATATTCTCCAAATGAGATCCAAGGGAATATGCCAGACCCCAAGGCCAATCCTTGTAGCATATCTGTATATGATTTTTCATGCCCAGCAATTTAATGTATGGTTATGGGGTGGGGATCTCAACAGCTTCCAAGCTGTGACTCAGAAACTAGGTCCCTAGGGTTGTGGCCAGACCCCAGGATCAATTCTAATATCATGATTGCATTCCTCTCTTTATGCCCAACAATTGTATATATAGTTTTGGGGTGGGGATCCTAACCATTTCAAAGTTATGACCCAGGGACTATGTCTCCGAGGGTGGGGCCAAACTCTAGGGCCATCCTGGAAGAAAATGTGCATTCTTCTCTTTCTACTCAGCAATTGTATATATGGATATACGGTAGGGATCTCAACCATTTTCAAGCAATAAACTCTTATGGACCCCACTCCTTAGCCAGGGGGTTTGCCCCACCGTTTGTACAATTTTGAATCACCAACACCTGGGGATGCTTCCTGTAAAATATGGTTGATATCCATCTCTTAGTTCCAGAGAAGAAGTCGCTTAAAACAATATAGCCAAATACCCCTGTTGGCCCCGCCCTCAACCCCCTGGGGGGTCAGCCACACCATTTGTACAATTTTTAATACCTGCCTCCCATAAATGTTTTTGATCAAATATGATTGATATCCAGTGAACAGTTCTACAGAAGAAGTCGTTTGCAGCAATATAGCCAAATTGCCCCCTTTGGCCCACCCCTAAGCCCCCTGGGAGGTCAGCCCCACCATTTGTACAATTTTGAATCACCACCACCTAGGGATGCTTCCAGTCAAATATGGTTGATATCCATCTCTTAGTTCCAGAGAAAAAGTCACTTAAAGCAGTATAGCCAAATAACCCTTTTTAGCCCCGCCCCCTAGCCCCCTTGGGGGTCAGCCACAACATTTGTACAATTTTGATTCCCTGCCTCCCATGAATGCTTTTGATCAAATATGGTTGATATCCACTTCTTAGTTCAAGAGGAATAAGCCAAATTGACCCCTTTTAGCCCCGCCCCCTGGGGGGTCAGCCCCACCATTTGTACAATTTTAAATCCCCACCACCTAGGGATGCTTCCAGTCAAAATTAGTTGAATTCCAATCAGTGGTTAAGAAGAAGAAGTCGTTTAAAGGAATTGTTGATGTACTGACGGACGGACGGACGGACGCATAAGTGGTATGGCATTTCAGACCAGGTGAGCTGATAACTATGTCTAAATTTTGCTCAAATTCAAACTTAACCTTAGTCTTCTTATAAGGTTCATGTATACAAGGTTTCATCAAAATCAAACAATATTTAGGGAAGTCACCTTGCGGAAACCAAAGTGTGGACGGATGGACGGTCGCTCACCATACTGTAAAACATTCCGTCAAAATGTTTGATGGTCGTATGAAAAAGAAGGGCTTACCTGTGGACTGATGAAGGCCATACTATCTCCACAGGTGGAGAGGGTGGACACACCTTCCGAATGGTTGAAACAATCGTCTTGGTAACCAGAGACATCATTCAGTTTCTCTGCTTCTAAAAACTGCTGCTGCTGTAGGGCAGTCTTTGTGTATTCAGGAAAAAAGTGTTTATTGATGATCAGGATATTTCCGTGAGGAATGAAGATGACAAACATCAGTAGGTTTTTCATCTTCCTTCCCTCTGTCATTTAACATGATATCTTCCTTCCCTCGGTCATTTAACATGATATCTTCCTTCCCTCAGTCATTTAACATGATATCTTCCTTCCCTCTGTCATTTAACATGATATCTTACTTCCCTCTGTCATTTAATATGTCTTACTCCCCTCTGTCATTTAACATGATATCTTCCCTCCCTCTGTCATTTAACATGATATCTTCCTTCCCGCTGTCATTTAACATGATATCTTCCTTCCCTCGGTCATTTAACATGATATCTTCCTTCCCTCAGTCATTTAACATGATATCTTCCTTCCCTCTGTCATTTAACATGTCTTACTTCCCTCTGTCATTTAACATGTCTTACTTCCCTCTGTCATTTAACATGTCTTACTTCCCTCTGTCATTTAACATGTCTTACTTCCCTCTGTCATTTAACATGTCTTACTTCCCTCTGTCATTTAACATGTCTTACTTCCCTCTGTCATTTAACATGTCTTACTTCCCTCTGTCATTTAACATGTCTTACTTCCCTCTGTCATTTAACATGATATCTTACTTCCCTCTGTCATTTAACATGATATCTTCCTTCCCTCTGTCATTTAACATGTCTTACTTCCCTCTGTCATTTAACATGTCTTACTTCCCTCTGTCATTTAACATGTCTTACTTCCCTCTGTCATTTAACATGTCTTACTTCCCTCTGTCATTTAACATGTCTTACTTCCCTCTGTCATTTAACATGTCTTACTTCCCTCTGTCATTTAACATGTCTTACTTCCCTCTGTCATTTAACATGTCTTATTTCCCTCTGTCATTTAACATGATATCTTACTTCCCTCTGTCATTTAACATGATATCTTCCTTCCCTCTGTCATTTAACATGTCTTACTTCCCTCTGTCATTTAACATGTCTTACTTCCCTCTGTCATTTAACATGTCTTACTTCCCTCTGTCATTTAACATGTCTTACTTCCCTCTGTCATTTAACATGTCTTACTTCCCTCTGTCATTTAACATGATATCTTCCCTCCCTCTGTCATTTAACATGTCTTACTTCCCTCTGTCATTTAACATGTCTTACTTCCCGCTGTCATTTAACATGTCTTATTTCCCTCTGTCATTTAACATGATATCTTCCTTCCCGCTGTCATTTAACATGATATCTTCCTTCCCTCGGTCATTTAACATGATATCTTCCTTCCTTCAGTCATTTAACATGATATCTTCTTTCCCTCTGTCATTTAACATGATGTCTTACTTCCCGCTGTCATTTAACATGATATCTTCCCTCCCGCTGTCATTTAACATGTCTTACTTCCCTCTGTCATTTAACATGTCTTATTTCCCTCTGTCATTTAACATGATATCTTCCTCCCCTCTGTCATTTAACATGATATCTTATTTCCATCGGTCATTTAACATGATATCTTCCTTCCCGCTGTCATTTAACATGTTATCTTCCTTCCCGCGGTCATTTAACATGATATCTTCCTTCCTTCAGTCATTTAACATGATATCTTCTTTCCCTCTGTCATTTAACCTGATGTCTTACTTCCCGCTGTCATTTAACATGATATCTTCCTTCCCTCGGTCATTTAACATGATATCTTCCTTCCTTCAGTCATTTAACATGATATCTTCTTTCCCTCTGTCATTTAACCTGATGTCTTACTTCCCGCTGTCATTTAACATGATATCTTCCCTCCCTCTGTCATTTAACATGATATCTTCCTTCCCGCTGTCATTTAACATGATATCTTACTTCCCTCTGTAATTTAACATGATATCTTCCCCCTTTTTGTCATTTAACATTGATATCTTCCTTCGCTCTGGAATTTAACATGATATCTTCCTTCCCTCTGTCATTTAACATGATATCTTCCCCCTTTTTGTCATTTAACATTGATATCTTCCTTCGCTCTGGAATTTAACATGATATCTTCCTTCCCTCTGTCATTTAACATGATATCTTACTTCCCTCTGTAATTTAACATGATATCTTCCCCCTTTTTGTCATTTAACATTGATATCTTCCTTCCCTCTGTCATTTAACATGATATCTTATTTCCCTCGGTCATTTAACATGATATCTTCCTTCCCGCTGTCATTTAACATGATATCTTACTTCCCTCTGTCATTTAACATGATATCTTCCCCCTTTTTGTCATTTAACATTGATATCTTCCTTCCCTCTGTCATTTAACATGATATCTTCCTTCCCGCTGTCAGTTAACATGATATCTTACTTCCCTCTGTCATTTAACTGTCGATGGAACTGCCAGAAGAGCAGGTACATGATATCTTCCTTCCCTCTTTCATTTAACATCATATCTTACTTCCCTCTGGCATTTAACATGATATCTTCCTTCCCTCTGTCATTTAACATGATATCTTCCTTCCCGCTGTCAGTTAACATGATATCTTACTTCCCTCTGTCATTTAACATGATATCTTATTTCTCGGTCATTTAACATGATATCTTCCCTCCATCTGTCATTTAACATGTCTTACTTCCCTCTGTCATTTAACATGATCAATGAACAAAAATGTTTTTTGGTAAAATCTAAATGTACTCATTTTATAAAAACTTGCTTCATTTGTCTATTTGCTGCTGAAACAGAAGGAGCTTCAGTACTGAACTAGTGACTAGGTTTTGTCAATGTTACCATAATTCTGGTTAATAAGATATTTTACTTAGCAGTCATATATCACAATACTTGTTTTTTTGAGTATTGGTATTTGTCAATATAATTAATGAAGTATTTACATTGGCACTATCTGTTCGTAGTCCTTAGATAGTGGTTACATGACCTGTCTTTCACATCCAAACAATGTCTATACCAAAATAATGTTGTTTGCCCCAGGGAAATATTCTGGGATTTTGGAGATCTGTACACAAATTGCACCCCACACTGAATTCTTTGCCTTTGAAGTAAAACATAATGATTAGAGCATGTCCAACATGATATTGGTTCTATTTCAGGAGTTTTTATACTTTATTCAGACAAAACCAGCTATATCAGCTTCCATGCACCACCATTTTAAAACTGTTGCCAGTGAGTATTACATGTTATGGAATGATACACATTGGTGTCAAAATACATCAGAGAAACACAACAAACAGTGCTTACTGCCTCTTACTGCCTCTTACTGCTGCTTGTTGTGTTTATACAGATACATCAGAAACACAACAAACAGTGCTTACTGCCTCTTACTGCCTCTTACTGCTGCTTGTTGTGTTTATACAGATACATCAGAAACACAACAAACAGTGCTTACTGCCTCTTACTGCCTCTTACTGCTGCTTGTTGTGTTTATACAGATACATCAGAAACACAACAAACAGTGCTTACTGCCTCTTACTGCTGCTTGTTGTGTTTATACAGATACATCAGAGAAACACAACAAACAGTGCTTACTGCCTCTTACTGCCTCTTACTGCTGCTTGTTGTGTTTATACAGATACATCAGAAACACAACAAACAGTGCTTACTGCCTCTTACTGCTGCTTGTTGTGTTTATACAGATACATCAGAGAAACACAACAAACAGTGCTTACTGCCTCTTACTGCCTCTTACTGCTGCTTGTTGTGTTTATACAGATACATCAGAAACACAACAAACAGTGCTTACTGCCTCTTACTGCTGCTTGTTGTGTTTATACAGATACATCAGAGAAACACAACAAACAGTGCTTACTGCCTCTTACTGCCTCTTACTGCTGCTTGTTGTGTTTATACAGATACATCAGAAACACAACAAACAGTGCTTACTGCCTCTTACTGCTGCTTGTTGTGTTTATACAGATACATCAGAGAAACACAACAAACAGTGCTTACTGCCTCTTACTGCCTCTTACTGCTGCTTGTTGTGTTTATACAGATACATCAGAAACACAACAAACAGTGCTTACTGCCTCTTACTGCTGCTTGTTGTGTTTATACAGATACATCAGAGAAACACAACAAACAGTGCTTACTGCCTCTTACTGCCTCTTACTGCTGCTTGTTGTGTTTATACAGATACATCAGAAACACAACAAACAGTGCTTACTGCCTCTTACTGCTGCTTGTTGTGTTTATACAGATACATCAGAGAAACACAACAAACAGTGCTTACTGCCTCTTACTGCCTCTTACTGCTGCTTGTTGTGTTTATACAGATACATCAGAAACACAACAAACAGTGCTTACTGCCTCTTACTGCTGCTTGTTGTGTTTATACAGATACATCAGAGAAACACAACAAACAGTGCTTACTGCCTCTTACTGCCTCTTACTGCTGCTTGTTGTGTTTATACAGATACATCAGAAACACAACAAACAGTGCTTACTGCCTCTTACTGCTGCTTGTTGTGTTTATACAGATACATCAGAGAAACACAACAAACAGTGCTTACTGCCTCTTACTGCCTCTTACTGCTGCTTGTTGTGTTTATACAGATACATCAGAAACACAACAAACAGTGCTTACTGCCTCTTACTGCTGCTTGTTGTGTTTATACAGATACATCAGAGAAACACAACAAACAGTGCTTACTGCCTCTTACTGCCTCTTACTGCTGCTTGTTGTGTTTATACAGATACATCAGAAACACAACAAACAGTGCTTACTGCCTCTTACTGCTGCTTGTTGTGTTTATACAGATACATCAGAGAAACACAACAAACAGTGCTTACTGCCTCTTACTGCCTCTTACTGCTGCTTGTTGTGTTTATACAGATACATCAGAAACACAACAAACAGTGCTTACTGCCTCTTACTGCTGCTTGTTGTGTTTATACAGATACATCAGAGAAACACAACAAACAGTGCTTACTGCCTCTTACTGCCTCTTACTGCTGCTTGTTGTGTTTATACAGATACATCAGAAACACAACAAACAGTGCTTACTGCCTCTTACTGCTGCTTGTTGTGTTTATACAGATACATCAGAGAAACACAACAAACAGTGCTTACTGCCTCTTACTGCCTCTTACTGCTGCTTGTTGTGTTTATACAGATACATCAGAAACACAACAAACAGTGCTTACTGCCTCTTACTGCTGCTTGTTGTGTTTATACAGATACATCAGAGAAACACAACAAACAGTGCTTACTGCCTCTTACTGCCTCTTACTGCTGCTTGTTGTGTTTATACAGATACATCAGAAACACAACAAACAGTGCTTACTGCCTCTTACTGCTGCTTGTTGTGTTTATACAGATACATCAGAGAAACACAACAAACAGTGCTTACTGCCTCTTACTGCCTCTTACTGCTGCTTGTTGTGTTTATACAGATACATCAGAAACACAACAAACAGTGCTTACTGCCTCTTACTGCTGCTTGTTGTGTTTATACAGATACATCAGAGAAACACAACAAACAGTGCTTACTGCCTCTTACTGCCTCTTACTGCTGCTTGTTGTGTTTATACAGATACATCAGAAACACAACAAACAGTGCTTACTGCCTCTTACTGCCTCTTACTGCTGCTTGTTGTGTTTATACAGATACTTCATAGGATACACCGTAAACTCATGTTAATTAAAGTGTTAAAGTCAGATGAAAAAGTACAAACATCAGGTTAGACATGCAAGGATGTGTCATTATAATATATATATAAGTCTGCTTTCAAATACAATGCATTTTTATTGTGTAAGGATGGGTGGAGTTCTGTGTACAGAATAAAAAAACTCCAGGATATATTCTCTCTGGCCAATCACACTTGGTTTAGGCTTAACTGAATGTGAGGGAGGGGGTCATCCAAATGTTTACCCTCCAAACATCCAGAGCTCGACTACTCATTGTCAGGAGGATTTAACCAACCCTAGTACTAATACAATGTGTCTCCCTTCATTTGTTTACTTTCATGTTTATTGTGGAACAGCTTCAGTAACATTCTCATATCCAAACACTGAATATTGTAGTACAATTTCAGAACCAAAATGATCAAATACAACTCAGTATAATACAACATTTGTGATGCATGCTCTTAAACAAATATTTAAAAAAGTCAGTATCATTATGATTTTGAAAAAAACAAAAATCACAAAAAGGAAAGGGATGTATGATTATGCCTAGTATACCTCTCACATCCTTCCTTTATATTTAGTTTGACTCTGAAACTAGAACTTCTTTGTCAGGATCTTGCAATACAATTTTGTTGCCTTGATCTTAAAGGTTAAAATTGATCCCTTAAAGACAATTTGGTCAAGTAATTTTTTTATAATCTTGTCACAAAATCCTCATGATAATATAGTTCGATACTCCTTATGAATAATTCATGCCGAGATATCGACAAGAGGCAATGTTTTCATGGCTGTCTTAATCAGTGATGAAGAAATCCATAGGTTTAGTGTCGGGTGTCGATGGAACTGCCAGAAGAGCAGGTAAATTCTCGCTTTATTCATCTAACATCTTTGGAATCAATAGCATATCTTCCAAACAACAAATCAATCATCGTTATAAATGAGTAATTTATTTTAAGTCAAACTGACTGATATCGTACTTGGCGCAGTTTGAAACACTCCCTAGGGTATCCTCTTGCTTGCATACTCTAATAAGACCTGTTTTTTTTTTATTCAAATCAAACTGTGAACAGAAATATCTCATTAGATTTATATGTGATACTTATTATTCTTGTTTGCGATGTATTGTGTAAACTGAAAGTGTCAAGCATGTGTTATGTGAGAAATCAGACTCACTGACACTGTTGTCATTCGACAGTGTGGTACTGAACATACTATTTAGTTCTTACTGAAAAAGCCTGGATATTGCGCTATTTCAGTCAAAGCTATTATCATCACCCACATTCCCAAAAGATAAAACTGACTGCACTGGACATTGGCTTCAGGTCATGTCATATCAACTACGTAGACTTTCGTTAGGAGATAAGATATTTTCAGTATCTAATCGATTTTAAGGGTGTTGTTTGACTAAATTGCCACTTTTAACGTCTAACTTATTCACTTTTAACAATTACTTCATTTGATCGGATACACTTGTGATATGACCAAGAACATTGCAGCACACGCACCTTCCAGTCTTCTGATTGGCTAATGTTTCGTCTCCTTTTGTCTTGCTCTCTGAGTTTATTTGCAATCTGAAATACAAACACATCACTGGAATGTAACTGACTTCTGTTAGGATGGACAGTGTTATGTTACATGTACTAGTAAACAAATTCCTTGGATCGCTGTCTTTTGAGTAATAAAGGACTGGGGGCATTAAGGGTCTTTTCTGGCCTCATCGGGGATTTAGAATTAGTTGTTTTATTCGTAATCGGGAATAATGAAATACGCAAACAATGTCATGCCTGTGTTCATTCATAGAAAGGAATTTTTGTTTACCATATGCGGAGGCTTTCATTTCTGCAAGCTAACTGTCCAAAACACCCTATTTTGGCTATTTCCTTTATGCATAGAGTAAGTATATTATAACTGCCAACTAGAACACTGACAGATCAGTAAGGGCCCCGTCTTGTGGCAATATATCCCCCATAATCATCAAAAATCAATCTGCCCATAAAGCTGAGCTTGACGTTTGACATTTGGACTTCAAAAAAAATCGCAAGGAAACAAAATATACATTTTACATGTACTATGATATGAGTCTTGTTTCCTTCCACCTCCATATTTGCTGGGCTAACAGAAATGTAAATACCGGTGCAATACTCATTTGTTTGCTTTGATTTGTTTTATTTCACCTTAAATACCTCCCCCATCAAGAGCCAGGGGCAAAGCCAGAGATCCATTTTGTCTTTGACCCTTGGACCCAAATGACCTTGACCTTTAACCCAGTGACCCTGATCTTTGGTCAGTTGACTTATTTTTCCAATTCCGACCAACTTTGCTTCATATTATAAAATGTTCATCAGCGAAAAATACAAAGCTTGACCTTGAACCTTTTGACCCCGTAACCTGGGCCTTTGGTGTTAAGTTTTGAACAACTTTGCTTCATAATAACATAAAAAAAGATGTTCATCAGTAAAAAGATACAATATTTGACCTTGACCCAGTGACCTTGACCTTAAGTCAGTTGACTCTTTGTTAAATTCCGACCAACTTTGCTTCATTATGTCATAACAAAATGTTCATCAGGGAAAAGATACAACATTTGACATTGACCTTTGACCCAGTCACCTTGACTTATCTTATGTTATAACTGCCAACTACACAATAAGTATCTTATGTTATAACTGACAACTACACAGTAAGTATCTTATGTTATAACTGCCAACTACACAGTAATTATCTTATGTTATAACTGCCAACTACTCAGTAAGTATCTTACGTTATAACTGCCAACTACACAGTAAGTATCTTATGCTATAACTGCCAACTACACAGTAATTATCTTATGTTATAACTGCCAACTACTCAGTAAGTATCTTACGTTATAACTGCCAACTACACAGTAAGTATCTTACGTTATAACTGCCAACTACACAGTAAGTATCTTACGTTATAACTGCCAACTACACAGTAAGTATCTTATGCTATAACTGCCAACTACACAGTAATTATCTTATGTTATAACTGCCAACTACACAGTAAGGATCTTATGTTATAACTGCCAACTACACAGTAAGTATCTTATGTTATAACTGCCAACTACAAAATAAGTATCTTATGTTATAAGTTTTTGTTTGTGTTTTACGTCCTATTTACAGCTATGGTCATTTAAAGACATGCCAGGTTTTAGTGGTGTAGTAAAGCTGGAGTTCCTGGAGAAAAACCACCGACCTACGGCCAGTACCTGGTGACTGCCCAACGTAGGCCTCAAACCCACAACCTAGTGGTGGAGGGCTAGTGGTAGCAGAATGTCAGACGCCTTGACCACTTGGCCACCGCAGCCCCCCTATAACAATTATAAGTACACTGTATCATATAGTTCAATTGCTTTCTACTTCATGTTTATTGTCCTATTAACAGCTAAGGTCATTTAAGGATGGCCTTCATCTGTGTATTGTATATGCCTTTATGTGTGTACATCGAAAGGAGTAATGAAGGCCAAGAATGTTGGTGTATTTGCCTCCTGTTGATAGCATTTGTCACATCTTTTACGCCATAAAAATACACTACTCAGAAGCTGTTGTGTATTCCAGTGACCAATTTACATGGTAATTTGTCTAAATGTATGCCGTTTTTGGAATTGAAATTTGCATTCTTGAAGTTTATTTAAAAGAAAACAATCTTTGAAAATGTTTTTCAATATTGGAAGGGGTCAACGATACAAAAAAAAAAAAAGTTTAACTGTTTTCATTTTTGAAAGTACCGGACAAACTTGACAGAAATAATAGTCCATTCAATAGGAATCCTTTGCGTATCTTCCCCCATATCCTCCCCCCTATCCTTGATACATACCGTTTTGTTTTGGTGCTTTTTCCTATCTTCAAACCTCCTTACTGCATGTACTGTCAGTAACTTAAACCTAATTAAAAATTAATCACAGGAATATTTTATGAAACACATGTAAATCTAGAGTCCCAAATCTAGAGGGCCTGTATCGCTCACTTGGATAATTCAGTAACCATGGGAAAATATTCTCATTAAACATAGTACTGCAACTATTTCCAAATATTGGCTCTGTCTCTCAGCAACAACAGTCCCTCAACTTTCTGCCCAAATTGAAGACAATGAATGTAAGAAAGTTTATCAGAATAGAAATTGATGGTAGCCTTCAATTCACCATGGGCTGGTTCATTTTACCATAATGGTAATAGGAACCGTGGTTCATTTCACCATGGCCTTCATATTACCATACTACATCGGTCCTAAAAATGAAACATTTAACTTGAAAGTGTGGGCTTTATGGATACCCCTGCTCCCCACATATCTACAACAGAAAATGAGTGTTTCGGTGCTGCAATGGAACAACCAAAACATGAGACAGTCATTTCTAAAATCTTAACCTCAGATCTGGTTAATGGCTGAATATCTGGTGAAAACAACGATCAGGTCAAGTTATAATTAATGTGGCAGAGATTTTAATTGTACCTAAAGATTACAGTCGCCTTCTAGCTTTAGGATAGGGGGATTTCCCTTTAGCTTGATTGGTAGAGCAGTGAACTAAGAGTCTAGGATCACAGGTTCAATCCCCCGTGGAAACACTACCTCATATTCTCTTTCCTGTTACATAATTATCATCTGGTCATTATCCGGGATATCTGGTGTGACAGACAAAATTGAGTCACTTGACAGTTAAATGGATAGACCATCCAGAAAAGGTAGTTTAATAGCCTTCCATCAGCCTACCATCTTATAATGGTAGAATAACAGTAAGTAACCATGAACTACAGGCACCCATTATTTAAGCCTTATAAATACAGTTGTAAGACAGTAAAGTCTAAAAATCTTCATGAATTGGTTACTTTTCTTTAGCCTCCCGACTGGGAAATTCTCCTAGTTTATAACTGTAATTAGTCAAGACATAGGCACTCAACTTTTGTAACATGACGGAGGCGCAATATCTGGAAGGACCAATTATTAACAAGAGGCCCATGGGCCTTAACGGTCACCTAATATATTTATACAGAGAGTTGATTTTGTTTTTAACATGTACAGAAATATTATTCAAAGTGACAAAAAACAATAAAACCACCTTATTCAATATCTAGCATACAGATTAAAGACTAAAAAGTATTTGAAACTAGCACCTCTGATTCTAAACAGGGCTGATATGTGCATACCATCAAAATGCTATCCAATACTGATAATGCTAACCCAAATTGAATAACTTCCAATGGAAATTAAACAAATGTTGGTCCAAAATGTGATTTCCCTATATAAACTAAAGGAAAGTTTACCCCTCCCCAGGGGGAAACGTGAGACCCCAGGGTCATGAAATTCACAATTTTGATAAAGCACCTTAAGACCCTTCCATCTATGAAGAGTATTTGATTATACAATAGCTGGGTCTTGAGAAGAACATTTTTGAAATTTCAGTCAATTCAACCCTTTTTTGCCCCACCCATCAGCCCCGGGGGGG